CTCAGCTCCAGCCATTGCGGTCACTTGGGAGTGAATCAATGGATGGGAGATCTTCCTCTCTGTCTCTCCTCCTCTCTGTATATCTGACTTTGCAATAAAAATAAATCTAAAAAAAAAAAAAAAAATAGAGCCAAGGTCAGGAATGGTGCTGCAAGCCTGCCCCAACACTGTGATACCCCAGCGGTGACCATTCGTCCCTTTCCCATGACCAGCCAGCCCTCCCTGTGGCTGCCCCATCCCCCTTGACCGGCCTGCCCCAGCCCTTACAGACAATCCTGTCTCTGTGGGCCCTGGCCGGCCTGTTCTGCCACTTTCCCTGAGATGGCAAAACCCGTCGGGCAGCTCGGGCAGCTCCGGCCTTCTTTCTGCTCCTGGCTGCGGGAATCGGAAACCTGCCGGGCGGGTTTGGCTAAAATGATGTGTTGTTGTGCGAGTTCACACACTGCTCACTCCTGCCCCTGCAGTGGGAGCACACGGAGCTCCACACGCCGTGGACAGAGGGCCAGAAGCCACGTGAGTACCTGCTGACCAGGGCCACACCACCAGCAGCCGGTGGGGCCCCCGGGGAGGGAAGCTCCCCTGGGCATAGAGGCCCAGCGCCAACAGGAGCCCGCCAGTGGGTCACGGCTCAGCTCTGCCCACCCGGGCTGCTGTGGAGTACCTGACCTTAGGACACAAAGCCAAGAGGAGCCTCTGTGAGGTTCCTGAGCAGGGGCTGGGCACAGAGGATGCCCCAAGCCGTCCCTGCGGTGAGCTGGAGGGCTGGAGCCCTTCAGGTCCCTGTGGGTCAGAGGCGGGCGCAGCGGCGGGCACTGCTAACACACAGGCACAGCCACCCACAACTCCCCCCAGGCTGCAGGGCCATGCTGCCCTCCACTGTCCTGGTGTCAGGGCAGGTACTGTGTGCCCAGCCCCCCACTGGGTTGCAAGCTTGCTCACTGAGGAGTCAGGTTGCAGGGCCTGCAAGCCTGAGCTGCAAAGTGGCCCAGCCAGCCAGGTGTGTGCGTGCAGCAGTGGGCTCAAGGCCCTTGTGCTGGTGGCATGCCCAGCAGGGGAGGGAGTGGGGAGGCAGTGGGGACTAAGTCGTTATGTTCCCACATGCCTGTACAGGAGCTGGGAACCCTGCCTGGTGAGTGCCGATACGGCACGCCGGCAGTAAGTCAGGGCCTTTGGGGTCGGGCACTTCCCGGACACAGCCCAGCCCTCAAGCGGATGCCAAGGTCACCAGGAGGCAAGGCTGCTGTCCTGGCGTGTCCCCTGCCGGCTGGTGGTCATGCACAGGTTATACCTCTGGGCCGCGGCTCAGTCCATTGCACCTGCCGGTGTGGCCCACCCAGGACCACCGGAACGCCTGGGAGGTCAGATGGGGAAAGTGGGAGATAGCAAGGCCAGCGGGGAGAGGCTCTGCCTGCCTCTGAGGTCCTGGTGCAGACCGGAGAAGACTCCACAGCAGCGGTCAGCTCCACCCGTTTCTCATTGCTGGAACCTCGGTGTTCAACTCAGTGTGGGCTCCAGCACACAGCGGGGACGGCAGGGGGCGGGGCACTCGGGAAGCTGCACAAGCTTCTTCAAGACTCATTTGTTCATTTATTTGGAGAGCAGTGAGGGGTCCCCCATCACTTTTCCACAACCCCAGTTGGCTGCAGTAGGCCCAGGCTGGGCTGGACTGAACCCGGGTCTTCCATGTGGGTGACAGGGTGACGCTTAAACTGTCGCGCTGCCTCCCAGGATGCCCCACACGGAGCTGGAACTGGAGTTGGTACTCAGTCGTGGGATGCCAGGGCTGCAGGCAGTAACTTGACCCGCTGTGCCACAGAAGTGGCCCCATGTCATTATCATGTGAAAGTTTCTACCGTGGCCAGCCCGTGGGGGCCCAGCAGGGTGGGGCAGGGAGGGGCCCAGCAGGGGACGGCCTGCCAGGAAGTGCAGACAGCCGCTGAGGAGGAGCACGCGGCAGCTGGGGCTTGGCCCACTGCACGAAGCCTCAGGTGAGTTAGGAGTCTACCCGCAGGCCCCTGGCACAATGCTGGGTGTCCGGGGTAGGGGCAGAGGTGCAGAGATGCACCAGACCCCAGGGTCAGGCTAGCTGCAAGAGCCCACGGCTCACCCCAGAGTCCAGACAAGGATGGGCGCCTGCATGGGTGTCACTCCTCAGCCAGATGGCACGAGGCTGACGTGTGCCTGGCACAGCAGCCGGGATGTCATGGGCACGAGGCCCCTGGGGCAGTGGGGGCATAGGGTCCTGCAGAGGTCCTCGGGGTGGCAGCCTCTGACTCCTGAGACAGGGCTCCTATAGGCTGCACCACTGTGTCCGGCACTCACCAGCTGTGTTACCTAGAACCCACCTGGGGCAGGGCTGGCAGCATGGGGCAGGGCTGGCAGCATGGGGCAGGGCTGGCAGCATGGGGCAGGGTGTTGGCAGCATGGGACAGGGGATGCACACCATCCCCTCCCCGACCAGGAAGCAAGACTGGGGGAGGGACAGGAGCAGGAACGCCTGTGCCCAGGCAGTCCCCTTGGGAGCAGCATGCCAGGGGACCTCAGGTAGGGCCTAGGGGCAGTCAGAGGCCCTAGGAGGCAGGCAGGGCTCAGCGCAGATCCCTGTTCTGGGGAGCACACAGGGTCCCTGTGCACGGCCCTCCTGGGCTGAGGTGTTGGGGGGCAGGGAGCACTGGGCGTCCTTACTCGGGTCCACTAGGGACCAGCTCAGGCTGGTGGCTCAAGCAGCAGCCACCTGCAGGCACTGGTGCTGGGAGCAGCCTCTTTCACAATGCTGCCCTTGGGCAAGCACTCCTGCTTTTCGGGGTGGGGGCACTAAGCTCCATCACCATAGCCCAGCAGGCTGGGGTGCTAGTGTCCTCCTTCTGCCTGCTCTGCCCCTCACCCCGAACCAATCCCCCCGCTCCTCCCAGCCTGGGGGGCAGAGTGGAGGAAGAGAGGGGGCAGCCAAAGCCGGCCCAGGGCCCCCCACTACACGCGCCCTCCCAGGGCATTCCAGTCTGTGCCTGCCCAAAGGCTCACAGCCACTGTGTTCAGCACCTCAGGCCCAGCGGCGGAGCGAGAGAGTCGTGGGAGAACCTACCAACTCCTGGGGCAGGGTGGCCAGACACTCCTGCAGCCCACATTCCTCCTGTCCACGGGACCCCCTGCTCCCCCAGAGCCCCACGACTGGCCTGCTCCCCCACCCACTCTAGCAGCTGGCAGGGCCCAGGAAACCAGAGTAAGACCCCAAGCCCCAGGCACTGTCGCCCGAGCCCCAAGGAAGACAGGGACTCCCACCACAAGGCACCAGTCTCGGTCCACGCTGACCACTGGCCAGGCCCACAGGGCCTTCCACGCCACTGCGGTGTGGGCAGGAACGACCCCCAAGGCCAGCTCCTTTACGGGAGTCGCCCAGTCCACGCAGGTGGAAAGTTGGGGAGAGATGGCAGAGCAATCATTTGGGCAGGTCCAGGTGGCCCACCCTGACAGGACCAGAGCCCTCAGAGGCGTCCAACCACCCAGGGCCCTGGGTAGGCCAGGCCAGCATAGCCAGGCACAGGGTGCTGCAAAGTGACCTTGGTCCACGCAAGGTGACCACGGAGGACACAGATCCATCTTGGGGGTACCCCAGTCCCTGCACCTGGAGAGCAGACTTCCAGCTCAGGAAGTCCCAGGGGCTCCCTGAACCTGCAGGGGCAACCCTGGGGAGGGCACATACCCGCCCTGCCTCGTGCCAGCAGAACCTGCCAGGAGCAACCTCCTCTCTGCCCTGGCCAGTCTGGGGAACCCCCGCCCTCCAGCCCTGCGAGGACCCCACAGCTCAGAACACAGAATCCCCTCCTGCTTCCCCCTCCACACCCCTAGGCCCAGCAAGGGAGACAGCCCACCCGTTCTGAGGGTGGAGGCCATGGGGACCACCTCTGTGCCATGCGGGGTACGCTGCTGCTGAGGGCAGGGCGGGGCAGGGGTCGGGGCAGACTCCAGGTAGAAACCACACAGGCCGAGCGGCAAGCGCTGGTGACGGCCGTGTGAGCATTCTGGGGTCCCAGCCCGAGGCCCAGAGGCAAACCCACTGAGTGTGAGTGAAGACAGCCCTGCTCTGCTCCAGGGTAGACTCGGCCACAGAGCCCAGCAGCCATCATATGGAGACAGTGAGTCGGCAACCCATCCCGCAGGTCAAGGACAGGCCTCACACACGCGCAGGCACACGCATGCTGCACAGACTGCACGCACTGCACATGTGCGAGCGAGCACGTAGACACCCAGCATGGGCACAGCGTGCAGGCTCACAGGAGCTGGCACACTGCTGTGCACACACACAGACCACACGGAGCCCGCAACTGCACATGCTTACACATGGAACACACGCATAGTGAACACGGGAGCACGCGTGTGCCCTGGCGGAAATGCTGGGCACTGGGCTGGCACTGGGTGGGGAGGGAGAAGGAAGACAGGGATGGAGAAAAGGAGGGGCTGAAGCTTCACAAGCCCCAACACCTGCCAGCAGCTTGGGGAGCCCCAGCAGGCCCCGGCAACGCACACACTCAAGCCCGGGCCCTAGGCCTGGCCTGTAAGCACCGCAGGGTGGGGACCCCCAGGACCTCCGCCGTCTGACCCCGTGAGTGGACAGAGACCCCTCACTGGGAGCTGGCGTCTGCATGTCGGTGTCAGCCTGCCTGTCTGTGCATCGTGTGCTCATATGCCCACGTGTCCCTGAACATACACGTGGACTGCGCCAGTGTGTGGGTGTGTGGGCACACGAATGCCTGTGGGACAGGGCTGCCCAGTGGCCTGGAGGAGTGCAGACCTGGGAGGAAGCTGGGCTGAGGGGGCCACCTCAAGGCCACGCACTGCAACTGCCGGCCTAAGGGCTCCCCAGCACTGCAGCCCAGCCGCCCCAGAACAGCACCCAGCAGGGGCGGGTGCCAGCTCGCACTCTGCCCTAGCTGCGTCCTACCCTTGCAGCTGCTCACTCACCCTGCGCTAAGCTGGAAGTCCAGAGCCAGTAGCAGCCCCAGGCTCCATGCAGAGGGGCCTGGCTGGGCTGCAGGAGCCATGGAGAGCTTCGCAGAGGCCCTGAACCGGCTGAAGGACGCCCACGACAAAGAAGTCCTGGGTGAGTGGCCAGGAGTTGGGGAGGGGGCTGCTGGCTCCCATCCACGGCCAGCCTGGAGAGCCAGCCACCTACCCCAGGAAGGGCAGCCTTGCCCCAAAGCCCAGAGCCACTAGTCAGGTGCCCAGCCAAGCCCAGAGCCAGTCACCAGCACCACCTCCTACCCTGGGGGTCCTCAGTACCACCTGCTGGTCCCTCCCACAGCCTGTGCACCACAGGATACAAGACCTGAGCACTGCTGAGTGGCTGAGAGAGGGGACCCAGCTGGACAGCTGGGATGCAGCCAGCAGGGAGCGTGCTGGGACTGCGCCAGGAGCCTGACGTGGTCCCCACCAGCAGCACCCCAACACAGGCAGCTCCTCTGCCTCCCCCAGGCAGCCGCAGGCCCTTCCAGCATCAGGACCCCCGCCAACTTTCTGACAGACCCTTAGGCCGAGGAGACCGAGGCCCGGCCACCAGGAGGGGCAGCTCAGCCCTGAGCATGCCAGCCGTGGCCCACATGAGGATCCCCGGCAGGGCTGCCCAGGCGCCGGCCAGGACTCCCCAGGTCCTGCCAAGGATCTCGTGTGACAGCTATGCCCAGCACTGCCACCTCGAGGCCCTGGCACCGGAGGCGCAGGGGAGACCAAGGCCAAGACTCACTGTCCACCCCTGCCCGCCCACCCCCAGGCCTGCAGAGCAAGCTCACCGAGCTGAATGCAGAGAGGTGCCGGTGAGTCTGCCCCAACCCCGGCCCTACACTGCCACCACCCCGAGGTGCCCACGGCAACCCTGAGGCCCAGCAGGGGACAGCCACTTGTCTCAGGTCACACAGTGTGACAGAGGCAGGACAGGAAGCGGGCAGGGCATTCCTGTCGGGCGCTCCCACGGGCCCCAGGGGCTGGACGGCTTGGCTGCCAGCCAGGGCCCCACTCGGGCTGTCTCCGCGCAGGGATGCCCAGCGAATCGAGGAGCTCTTTGCCAAGAACCAGCAACTCCGGGAACAGCAAAGGCTGCTGAAGGAGAACCTGCAGGTGCTGGAGAACAGGTGAGGGCCGGGCACCATCCCCACCTCCCTGCCCCAGCAGGACTGCCAGGGCCCTAAGCCCAGCGCGTCCCCAGGGGAGCGGAGATGACAGACACTAGGCCTGGGTTCCCCAGCGCTCAGCACAGGAGAGGCTGGGCAGAGCATGTGGGGGACTGGCCTCAGGACCCCCAGCCCAATCTCACAGCTCCACCCCTCCAGGCTGCGGGCAGGACTGTGTGACCGCTGTGTGGTGACGCAGGAGCTGGCCAGAAAGAAGCAGCTGGAGATGGAGACCTCCCACCTGCAGGGCCTGCAGCACCTCTTCCTCCTCAGTGAGCCCACCGGCCAGGGGCGGCCAGGGGCGGCCAGGGGTGGGAGCAGGGAAGCCAGGGCAGGCCTCCGTGCGGCCTTATCTAAGTGTCCACGGAGCTCACATCTGTGCATAGCAAGCAACAGGGGGTTGGGGAACAAGGAAGGGGGACACGTCCGCCATTGGGCAGGCAATGGGCCAGGCGCTGGCAGCAAGACAAGGCAGGCCCCCACCCCACCCACGCCCTGCCCTCTCCTCTCTGACGCCTTCCACAGCCAACGAGATGAAGGCGCTGAAGCAAGAGAACCAGGCCCTGAAGGCGGCCATGAGGCGACTCTGCGGTCTGACGTGAGCAGGGGACCAGGAGACTCGGCCTGTGCTGGGGGGACCAGGGGACTCAGCCTGTGCTGGGGGGGGGGGACTCAGCCTGTGCTGGGGGGGGGACCAGGGGACTCGGCCTGTGCTGGGGGGGGGGGACCAGGGGACTCAGCCTGTGCTGGGGGGGGACCAGGGGACTCGGCCTGTGCTGGGGGGGGACTCGGCCTGTGCTGGGGGGGGACCAGGGGACTCGGCCTGTGCTGGGGGGGGACTCGGCCTGTGCTGGGGGGGACTCGGCCTGTGCTGGGGGGGACTCGGCCTGTGCTGGGGGGGGACTCGGCCTGTGCTGGGGGGGGACCAGGGGACTCGGCCTGTGCTGGGGGGGGACTCAGCCTGTGCTGGGGGGGGACCAGGGGACTCAGCCTGTGCTGGGGGGGGACTCGGCCTGTGCTGGGGGGGGGACTCGGCCTGTGCTGGGGGGAGACCAGGGGACTCGGCCTGTGCTGGGGGGGGACTCGGCCTGTGCTGGGGGGGGACTCGGCCTGTGCTGGGGGGGACTCGGCCTGTGCTGGGGGGGACCAGGGGCCTCACCCCACTCTGCCCAGCCTCCCCCCATGCCTGCTCCTGCCCTCCAGTGCCAGACCCAAGCCAACACCCCAGGAGGCCAGCCCGGACCCTCCCTCCCCGCTGCTGCTTCCATCCCCTGGGGACTGGAAAGCTGGTCCCAAGAAGCTACCCGGAAGTCACAGGGAGGCTGAGGAAGAGCCCCCAGGCATGGACACACAAGAAGGTGCTGGGGAGGTGGACGGGAGAAGCCGGTGGCCACGGCTGAACACCCCCAGGACGTTCCAGCCAGCTGCCAGCGGCACCTCCCAATCCCGCTGCTGCTTCTCCTCCTGCAGGCAAGCCGGTGTGCGGGTCACCTCCAGGAACCAAGGCCTCACCAGGCACCCACCTGCCCGAACCTCGGGCCCCAGACATGGTACGGATGAGTGACCCCTGGGCTGTGCCCTGCTGGGACCCCATACCACACAGCAGGGACCCCAGGCCCACTGCTAGTGCGGCCCTATGGGGAACAGGAGTGGTTCTGAGCCAGTGTCCCCACAGAGCCCGCACTGCATCTCCAACCAGCTGCATGGGACCATTGCCACCGTGCGGCCTGGGGCCCGTATCTGCCCCAACGACCATAGCTCTGCTGACCTCACGTCCCCGCCAAGCCCAGCCAGCGAGCAAAGGTGAAGGCAGCCCCCGCCCAGACTCCAGCCAAGAGGCCTCTGCTCTGGGGCAGGTCCCTGTGGCCACGGAAAAACCCTGGTGTCCCCCCCACCCCGCCACCCCCACTCCATGGCTGCTGGGAGGCACTCCGAGGCCTCAGCCTCCTGAGCCAGGAGCCGGGCTGTCCTCCCGCTCACTGCCTCACCCCCCTCGCAGCCTCCTGCAGCCGCCCTCTGCTGCGACCTTTGAGGCTCTGAAGCGCTCCCTCCAGGCCGATCATCTCTGCCTCCTGAGCCGCCACCTGTCTTTGCACCTGCAGACCCCATCCGGCGGGCCCTTGGTGCCCATCACCACCCAAGGGGGCTCACAGCCACAGGACCTGAAGGCCACGGGGGCAGAGGCCTGGGAGGAGCCCACAGGTGTCCTGGGGCTGCCTGGCACCTTGGTAGGCATGCAGGACCCCAGGTTGGAGGGGGCACTGCACCTGCTCCTGGCCCAGCAACAGCTACGTGCCCAGGTGGGCAGCGCCAGGCTCCAGGGCCCAGCCCTGCCACGGCAGACTCCGCCTTCCTCACCTCTTGGCTCGGACTCCAGAGGTCCCAAGAGTGAGGGGGTCCTGCCTGGGGAGCGGCAGTCACAGCCCAGAGGTCCAGGCAGCCCCAGGAAGGAGTCCACCCTGCAGGACTGTGGTCCAGACAAGCCTCTGGATCTCTCAGACCGGGGCAGGAACGGCCAGCAGTCCTCCAGGCGGCCCAGTCCTGAGCCGCTGCCAGGGGCAGGCGTGCACAGCCCAGGAACACTCAACAGTGACCTCAGGGGCACCAGGGCACTGAAGCTGGAGCAGCCCCCACCACCTACAGTAAGCAGCCCCACCCTGGCCATGTCCACCCGCAGCGGGCATCCGGCTAGGGACAGCCCCCGGCCCCAGGGACCATGCCAGCAGCCTTGGTCCCAGCAGGAGGGAGAGGGTTAGGATTTGCCCCAGCCCCAGTACAGTGGACTCACATCTCGGCACACTGCAGGCTCTTCTGCACCCTTTGCCTGGGCTGCAACACAGCCCGCCCTCTCTAGACGGGCTTGAGGATGAGGCCGGGCCAAGGCCAGCCCCCCACCTGCAGAGGCCTAGCACCAATGCCCACCCAGGTAGGGTAAGCTCCCTGGGGCTCTTGGGAACCTAGCAGGGAGGGGTAGTGGTGAGCGTCAGTGGGTGAAGGGGAGCAGCCTGACCCTGCACCCAGCTGACTCTGCAGGCCTGGCAGCTGGACATAGAGGGTGCTGAGGACCCAGGGCGGCCACCTCTGGCCACTCGGGGAATGGGAGGGCCCCCTGGCCTTGCATGCTGGCAGAGGGCGGGTCCTCATGCAGGGCGCTGGGGCACCGGCCCAGGCCACCTCCAGGGGCAGGTGTCCTGAGCACTGCCTGGCCCACTACGCTTCAGTTCCCCTTCCTCTCCTGGTTGGGCAGGCTCAGGGAATCCCAGGACCACCGAGCTGGCCGACCCAGCCCCATGCCCCTTGGAGCCCAGCCAGACTGGGACACAGGGGACAGAACCAGAGGAACTGGATGAGCCTGGCACCTCAGACAGTGAGGTGGGTCCCAGCCACACTTGGAGGGCGGCCTGCCGCAGGGCTGCCCAGGACAGGCGGGGGACAGGAGGGGGACGGGCGGGGGACAGGCGGCGGCATGTCTGCCCTCTCTGACTGTCCCCTCCTGCCCAGCTGAGCCCAGTGGAGGCAGAGTCGTGTGTGCCCGGGGAGGGGCCCAGGTGCGTGTGTGCCCAGAAGCGAAAAGCAGCCTGCGAGCTGGAGGACAGAGGTACGGCCACGGCCGGCGGGGCAGGGGCTTCCACGAAACGTTCTTGCAGCAGAACCGGAGGACCGGCATTCCGGGGCCTCCTCGCTGTGACGGGCCGGGATGCAGCAACTCCGACAGAAGACGGTCCCGGCCACTGTCATCCCCATCCCAGGCCCATGGCAAGCCCCCAGAGGGGTAGGGTGGGGTCCACGGCCAGGCAAGACAAGAGCAGACAAGGAGACCCTGCTGGCAGAGGGTGTCTGTCACACTGGGAGCCCCAGGCTGTGGGCTCCGGGAACCCACGCAGCTGATGCGGGCTGTCCTGGTGTTTGTCCAGGCCAGGCCACCACAACGTGTCTTTGTTGCCAGGCAGGCGAACAGGGCCTTGTTTGCTCACAGCCAGCACAGCTGTCTGGTGTGAGACACCTCCTGCCGCTGGGGAGCAAGGTGTCGTCCAGCGTCTGCCATATGCAGGCCAAGCAGCTCCTCGTCTCGCCTCACCCCAACCACGGCAGCACAGGCCCAGCCCTCAACTCCGCACCTCGCAGCCCGAGCACCTGTGCTGCCCACCCGGCCACACGCCTGGGCCGCTGACCCCTCGCTCGGATCCCTCACGCGCCCCCACCCCGGCCGCGGCCTCAAGCCAAGGCTGCCCTGCTAACACCCCTGTAGCCTGCAGTGGGAGCTGGGGCTGCCAGGAGGCGACCACAAAGGCCACTTGGTCCCTGCCATGGCCCTGATGACCTGCATCCACCTCCACAGCCTGCAAGAAGCTAACCCAAGGGAGAAAGAAACCGAGCGGGTTCCCGGCAGCGGCTGATGCAGCGGGAAGCCCGAGGGACAAGGCGCCCAGCCACCCCACCAGTGACTGGGAAGAAACCCAGCCAGGCCAGCCCAGCCCAGGAGCACCCCGGCCACAGCCCCACCACCAAGCGGCAGGCAGCCCAGCCCCGTTTCAGCCGGGACAGGAGCAGGTGGGGGACACAGCTGGACTAGCTCCCACCTCAGGGACCAGCGGCTGGTCCTGCACCAGGTCCCAAGGCATGATGCTCCAGCCACGGACTCGGGCGCCCCCTCGTGGAGCCCCAGCCAACTGGTACCTGTAGGCACCGGGCAGGGGTCCAGGGGCCGCATGGTCACCGAGGGCTGGAATAAACATGTGAAGGAGGATATGGTGTGTGCGGCTGGCCACGCCCCAGGGCCGTCTCCTGTGCTGACGGGAGCAGGTGGCCTGCGACGTGCACCTCCTGGCACAGCCTCTCCCGGGCCTCCCCACTTCATCTTTCAGATGCTCCCGGGAGGCGCAGGTGCCCTGCACAGGAGGCCCGAGGCCTGACAGAGGAGCTCCTGGCCAGGAGCAGGGACAAACAGGAGGGGGACACCAAGGGTGCTGGAGGGGGCAGCCAGGAAGTTGAGCCTGCAAGGGGCTCCCCAGCCCCTGCCCTGGGCAGCACACAGGCCGAGCCCTTGACTCCTGCTGGCTGGGGGACAGCTGACCTCAGAGAGCGCCCACGGGCATGGAGGGGCTGCGTGGGCCAGGCTCACATACTTGTAGGCGCTGCAGCGCTGGCTGAGCACCACTGGCCAGACCAGGGGACAGGGCACTCGGCTGAAGTTATCCCCGGGGGGCGGCAGCCAGCGAGCCTGGGCTCATGGCTATTCCTACCCCACACCGTGCCCTGGCCACCCGGACCTCAGAGGGACCCCCGTGAGTCCTGGCAGAGCTGCCAAATCCCACTGCACACCCGGCCTTCATCTGCCGCCCATCACCAGGACTGCCTCTCCAGCACAGCCAGCCCTGGTGCCCAGCCCGGGAGGGCCCCGTGGAGCACTGCTGCTGGGTGGCCCGGCTTCCTGCGTGAGCAAAGTCCGCGGCCAGAGCCACTCCACCCGACCACGCCTGAGGTCCATGTGGTGACTCCCACTCTAACGATGAGATCCATGCCCCGGCCAGAAGCTGCACAGATGGGCTCCCGCCTAGATACACAAAGTAAGCCAGGGTACCTTGTGCCCTCAGCCAAGACCACACTCAGACACAGGGCCTGGGCAGCCCGGTAAGAGGAATACGGCCACGCTCCCGCAAGTCCAGAGGCGGGACTCGAACTGGCACAACGGCTGTCTGCCCCGCTCCCCACCCCAAACCGCGCGCCGCTCCGGACTCGCTGGCCCGGTCCGACCTGCCTCTAGGACCCAGGGGAGCCGCGCTGGCCACAGGGCTGCATCGCACGGTGTATTTGCATATGGGCGCGCCGCGACCAATGGGAAGGCGCTCCGAGAATGTATTTGCATGAAGACGCTCTGCGGCTAATAGGTGGGAACGCAGGTGAATATTTGCATATGGACGGTCTGCAGCCAATGGGAAGCGCACTGCCTCTTGAGGGGCGGTCGCGACCACGCTAGCCAATGGGCGGGAGCACTGGCGGAATATTTGCATACAGGCGCTCCCGTGGCCAATAGGCGGCGGCGGCGGCGGTGGTGGCGCGGGCGGGTCATTCTCAGGATGGCCGCGGCCCCGGGCCCGGTCCCCGTCCATCCCGGTCCCATCCCCGGCCCGGGCCCGGGCCCTGTCCACCCCACGGCGGCCCCGGGCCCCGTCCACCCCACCGCGGTCCCCGTCCATCCCGGCCCCGTCCACTCCGGCCCCGGCCCCGTCCACCCCACGGCGGCCCCGGGCCCTGTCCACCCCGCCCCGGGCCCGGGCCCTGTCCACCCCGGCCCCGTCCACCCCGGCCCCGGCCCCGTCCACCCCACGGCGGCCCCCGGCCCCGTCCACCCCGGCCCCGGCCCCGTCCACCCCACGGCGGCCCCCGGCCCCGTCCACCCCACGGCCGCCCTGCGGAGGCGCGGGGACTCGCGGCGTCGCCAGGCCGCGCTCTTCTTCCTCAACAACATCTCGCTGGACGGGCGGCCGCCCAGCCTGGGCCCGGCCGGGGAGAAGCCGCCGCCGCCCGCCGAGGCCCGCGAGGTGCCCGCGCCGCCCGCCGGCCTCCCCGCGCCCCAGGGCCTGCTCAGCCCCACGCAGGCCCCCGCCGGCCTCGGGCTGGACGGGCCGCGCCAGCGGTGAGTAGGGACAGGGGTCCGCACCGAGACTGGGCAGGGGTCTGCAGTGCCTCCCCAGCCCGCAGCGCCCTCTGCAGAGCTACCGGGGCAGCACTGGGCTCAGCTGAGCACCCACCAGCCCAGGGCCTGCCGCCCGCCGCCCAGGGGTCAGCCCTGCTTAGCCTGTGTCCTTGTGGAGCCCAGGGGCCGTCCGTGCATAGCCCAGCTTGTGGCCTCTTCTCATCTGGGGTTCTCTGCCTCTGGCTGCAGCACGGCCTGCGGGGGGTCTCCGGGGCAGCCCTGAGGCCTGGCTGGGGCCGGCAGGGACTGGACACTTTGCCCTAACCCAGACCATGGCGAGACAGGAGCACACAGGCCTGTGCGCTCACTGAACAGGTGTGTCCCAAGGACACACAGGGTGTCAGGTGCGGTCCTCGGGCCAGGATGGGACTGATGGCCCCTGGGCAGACCCCCGCCCTCTCCCAACCAGGCCAGGTGTGGTGACGGTGGGCTGACCCTGCTCACTGACCCAGCAGTGGCTGGGAACTCGGCCTGTGCGCAGCCTGGCCCTCCTCAGGTGTTGATGTGGGGGGCGGGGGCGGGACTGCCGTCTTCCCTGCCCGTGTGAGCATGCAGAGTGGTGGCAGGGGCAGAGTGGTGGCAGGGCCAGAGTGGTGGCAGGGGCAGAGTGGTGGCAGGCGTTGGCGGCTGAAACAGGCAGGTCTGAGGAGAGCTGTGTCTGCAGGGTGGGCTAGAGTGCCCAGGCCTCCTGGCTGCAGGGTGGGCTAGAGTGGCCAGGCCTCCTGGCTGCAGGGTGGGCTAGAGTGGCCAGGCCTCCTGGCTGCTCCCCTTAAACTCCAAACCCCTTCCTCCTGAAAAGCAGGTGCCTGCAACTGTGGGCAGGACTGTGCCAGTCCACCCTGTCTTTGTGCCAACATGGGCAGGGCTGTGGCTCTTGGTTGGTGTTTTGTTTTGCTTTTTAGGATTTATTTGAAAGGTAGAGTTACAGTCTTGGGGAATAGAGAAAATTTCCCATCCACTGGTTCACCCTGCAGAGGTGTCCTCAGGGTCTCCTCTCCTCGGGCTGCCCTCAGCCTGGGCATCTGGGCGCTCTGGGCGCTCTGGGCACCACGCCGGGTGGAGGTGTGTGCTGAGTCCTGGTGGGCGTGCTGGAGCCCTGTGAGGGCTCTGTCCTGGGCCAGCTGCAGTGGAGGCGGGTGCGGCTTCCCGGACCTGCCTGAGATCCTGTGTCCTTGCAGCAGGCGAGTGGCCTCCCAGCGCTGTTCTCTCGAGTTCCTGGAAGACGCCATGGGCTGTGCCACAGTGCAGAGGTGCGCTGCCCACCCTGCCCTCCCAGACTTGGATCTCCACGTACTGGGGATGGGCAAGGGGACCCAAGAGCCAACAGGCCACCTGCCATGTACCCTGCAGAGCCAGACACACGTCCGGGTCCCCAAGACAGAAGGGCCTGAAGAAGACTCACTTCATCAAGAACATGCGACAGTACGACACTCGGAATAGCAGGTGACAGTCCCCGCCCTTCCCAGGGCCCCGAGGCCTTGCCCCGTCCTGTGCCCCAGCCATCTGCCACGCCTGTCCTGGGTGTGCTGCGCTCGGGGGAGCCCTTCCCACGCATTGCTGTGGAGACCGGCACCCTGCTGCCCAGCCCCTGCCCGAGGTGGGAACGCCGGCCCGCTCTGCCACCCCTGACCCGTCTCTCCCCGGCCAGGATTGTGCTCATCTGTGCCAAGCGGTCCTTGTGTGCGGCCTTCTCGGTTTTGCCGTATGGAGAGAGCCTGCGGGCGTGGTGAGTCCTCTGCCCCGGGCCTGCTAGTGGGGCAGCCCCCAGGCTATGGCTGGAAGGTCCTCGCGTGTCCACCCTGCCTGGGACCGAGCAGTGGTGCCCCAGGTGCCTCACCAGGTGGGAGACAGCTGGCATGCAGGTCCCAGGAGCTGGCGGGTGTCGGGGCTGTGGCCCCTCACTGCTTGGGTGGCCATGTGTGCCCCAGGGGAGGCATCAGGCCTCAGGACAACTCCACCAGGTGCCCAGGCATATGTGCCGCCCTTGACCTGGTGCTCTGCTGGTGAGCGTGGCCGTGTAACAGCGCTGCAGCCACCTCCCTTCCGTGTCTTACAGCGACCTGAGGGTGGACAGCCAGAAGCAGAGGCACCCATCGGGCGGCGTGTCCGTCTCCTCCGAGGTGGTCTTTGAGTTGGAAGGGGTCGAGCTGGGAGCAGCTGGACAGGCAAGCCTCCATGGGCGGCCACTGCCCAGCGCAGTCAGGGCCAGCTGGGTGGTGGGCACTGGGGGTCTGGCACATCACCTAAAGTCCAGAGTGTAAGAGGGTAGGCCAGGAGCCAGAGGGCCTCGGTCAGCAACGCCCCTTGCAGCTGGGCACAAAAGTCATTCCCGGCAGCACTGGGCTCAGACATGTGCTCACTGCCTCCACGGCCCCTCTCCTAGCCTGGTCTAAGGTCAGGGTCTGCAGAACCAGGGGGGTATGGGTGCAGTGCCACAGGCCCCAGCTGCAGAGTGGGAAGGTAGCATTCTGGAACATTCTGTCGTGTGGGAATCTGCCTGCCTCCGCGGAGCCTGCTGTAGCAGGCTTGCAGTTGCATCCCCAGTGGGCCCCATGTGGAGTGGGGCACGGCTGTGTCTGGCCGGGCCGCAGAACTGAGTCCTCCACACTCGTGTCTCTAGGTCGTGTCCTATGCAAGGTTCCTGTACCCAACCAACGCCTTGGTCATACACAAGAGTGGCAGCCACGGCCCAGCACCCCAGCCCCGGCCCAGCGTGCCTCGGGCCCCGCCGGGGTCACGACACAAGCCTGTCCCCACCAAGTCGGCGCCAGCCGGCCCAGAGCTAGGTACTCCCCACGCCTTCCCGAGGGCGGCGTCCACAGCTCACGGGCTTCTGCAGGATGCCCGCAGAGGCTGGCTGGCACGCGGGCAGGGGTTGCCTCCCAGGACTGAGACGGGCCCCAGGCCTAACCCTCTTCCCAACGCCCTCTCCCATGCCCCGAGCCCTGTGCCCTGCCGCTGCAGGCCAGTGCCTGTGGCTGGGGTGGTCAAGGCTGCCCTGCTCCTATTAGGTGATGGGGGAGACGCCTTGGAGTACAACCCCAACCTCCTGGATGACCCGCAGTGGCCATGTGGCAAGCACAAGCGTGTCCTCATCTTTGCATCCTACATGGTGAGTAGCTGCTGCTGGCCCCAGGCGCCAGCAGGCCACTCGTGGCCCAGAGCCCCAGCCCCGTACTGGCCACGGTCCTTAAGGATTTACTTAAGGAGTTCAGGAGAGGGACAGAGTGAGTCATCTGCCAGTTCACTGTCTATATAGCCAGAAGTGTGCCAAGGCGAAGCTGGGAGCCAGGGATGCCACCCCAAGCCTCCCACCTGGGTTCAGGGGCCCAGATACTCAAGACCTGCTACGCTCTCCCAGCTGGTGGGCAAGGGGCTGGATCTGAAGTGGAACAGCTGGGACATAGCCATGCTCGTGGGAGCCTGGCGCTGCAGCAACAGCTCTGCCCCCTGCACCTTACCACCTGCCCTTACAGTACACTGTTGGAAGGTGTCCGTTTCAAAGGCCAGGCCACGGGGAGAGATCTTCCACCCTCAGGCTGTTCCCACAAAGCCAACAGCCAGGGCCAGGCCAAAGCCACCTGGCCTCCCGCTTGGGCACCCCGTGCCAGCTGCCCCGCCATTGGCAGCGTGCTGGGCCAGCAGTTCCCAGCAGGCTCCCTCGCCCTGTGCCAGACCACAGTGATTGAGTACGTGAAGCCGTCCGACCTCAAGAAGGGCATGAACGAGACCTTCCGGGACAAGTTTCCGCACATCAAGCTGACGCTGAGCAAGATCCGAAGGTGAGGGGGCACTGGTGGGGCCTCCCTCCCGCCCCGAGCCGGGCTCGACAGACCCCGTCCCCACAGCCTCAAGCGGGAGATGTGGAGCCTGGCCGAGGAGTGCAGCCTGGAGCCTGTGACCGTGTCCATGGCCTATGTGTACTTCGAGAAGCTCGTGCTGCAGGGCAAGCTCAACAAGCAGAACCGCAAGTTGTGCGCTGGCGCCTGCGTGCTGTTGGCCGCCAAGATCAGCAGCGACCTGCGCAAGAGCGAGGTGAAGCAGCTCATAGACGTGAGTCTGGGCGCAGGGCTGGCGGCTTGGGCGGTCCCCCGTGGGCCCAGCTCGCCCCAACCCGTTGCCTCCCTGCAGAAGCTGGAGGAGCGGTTCCGCTTCAGCAGGCGAGACCTCATCGGGTTCGAGTTCACCGTCCTGGTGGCACTGGAGCTGGCACTGTACCTGCCCGAGAGCCAGGTGCTGCCGCACTTCCGCCGCCTCACGCAGCAGCTGTAGCCACACAGCCGCTCCTGACCCGCATCTGCCAGAGGGCCCCCCCAACCCCGCACAAGGTGGCTCACCCCGCTGCCGGCCGGTCACTGTGAACCACTGGAAATGCCAGGGGCCCAATGGAGCACCCTACTCTCCTTAGCAATACTGTGATGGGCCTGCTGGCCTGGGCCCTCGAGGGACAGCTGCTGCTCGGCACCCAGGCCTGAGGCTCAGGGTGGCCCTCCCAGGGTGCCATGTACCCAAGGGCCTGCTCCCTGTGTTGGGGCATCTCTGCCAGTCTCCTGGGCACTCAAGGCCAGCACAGCTTGCCCGGATGGCCACTGGGTCTGCACCCAACGCAGAATCACTTCCCAGTGGGTGTACCTCAGGATGTGTGTGTGTGTCAGCCTGTGGGCTGGGAACTCGTGTTTGTTCTTTGAAATAAAAGTCTGCGACAGCACAGGATTCCTCCCTCCATGACCCCCCCAGCTGCCCAGCCCTTTGCCCCGAGCACGAAGCAGCCACTCGGGAACCACACTTGGTTTTCTGCCTTTATTGGCCAAGCACCCAGCGAAGGACCCCGATCCCGCCAGCATCCTGGATTCTCAGAAGTTCCTAGGAGAAAAGGAGAGGAGTGGGCATGGGGCAGGTCCCAGGAAAGCAGCCCACCTCACCCTGCGACCCCCCTTACTTGGAGACGATGCCGTCGGCTTTGGCCAGACGGAGGATGGAGTCGTCGGACTCCCCCTGGAGAGAAGGCAGCAGCGTCAGGGGCCTGGGCCGCGTCCCGCGCACCCAGCCCGTCCCCCACACCCGGCACTCACCATCCTGCGGATGGCCCCACAGATCGCGTATGTCTTGAACTGGCCGTTAAACCTGCCCGTGGCCTTGTCCACCTACAAAGCAGAAAGCGTACAGTCCCTCCGCCCACTGCCCCATCCAACCCAGCGCCCCTCAGCCCCAGCCCGTGGCTCACCTCAGCCACGTTCATCTGGATGGATGCATGGTCCTTGGCACCGATGATGCGGTTGCTGGCCGAGCTGCAGGAGGTGGACGCCCGGTGAGGGGGCGACAACGGGGGACAGCAGGGACAGGATGAGGAGGCCACGGGGGACAAGAGGGACAGGGACAGGGTGGGAAGTGAGGACGGGAGGGGAGGCGGAACGGGCCGCACGCTCACCATTTCCGCGGCACGTACAGGTCCACGAACTCGCCGGCGTCGTTCTGCATATTGAAGCTGCACCTGGGGAGTCAGCGCGGGGGCCTGAGGGCGGCCGGCCGCGACCCCGGCCCCGATCCACGCGGTCCCCGATCCACGCGGTCCCCGATCCACGCGGCCCCCAACCACAACGGCCCCGACCCCGATCCACGCGGCCCTCGAACCCGACCACGACCCCCGCCCTCGCCCACGACCACGCGGCCCCGGCCCCGTTTCTAGGCCCCGACCACCGCACGCCGAGGGCCCCACCTGCTGTCGCCGAGAGCGCGAGAAGGAAAGGAAGTGCTTTCTGCCCCCCGGCAGCGATATGGGCGGGAGGGGCGGAGCCTCCGCGATAACTTCCGGGTCGCGGTACAAAGCGAGTCTGAACGTCGCGTCCTTGCCGGCAGTCAACGCGCTTCCGCTTCCGGCGTGGGGAGGGCGGGGCGGAGCCGGGGTGGGCGGGGCGGGACCGGGGTGGGGTGGGCGGGACCGGGGTGGGCGGGGCGGGACCGGGGTGGGGTGGGCGGGACCGGGGTGGGGTGGGCGGGACCGGGGTGGGCAGGGCGGGGGTCGGCAGGGGTCAGCGGGGCTGAGGCAGCTCCCACCGGGCGGCCCTTCCCTCCGTGTCCCGGTGGGGATCGGGATCGCTGCCCCCGAGTGCTCTGCCCGAACAGCGAGGCTGCCTCCGGGCTGGGGCGGGCACGGACCCCAGCTGTCCAGGGTTAGGGCACAGCAGGTGGTCAGGGGCGGGCACGGACCCGAGCTGTCCAGGCACCAGAGCCCCCAGGATCTCACAAGGTGCTCACCCCGTGGGCTCCCCAGCTGGCCGGCCGCAGGGGTGGTACAGGTCCAGCCTCTGCCCTTGGGGGCATTTGGGGAACAACCCAATGCTGAAAACTCTCTGTAAATAAGTAGAAATGGGTATTTCCTCGCGACCCCTGCGGGGGCAACGATGCAGCACCTGTCCCTAGCCAGGCGACTGTCCAGCGGATGTGCCAGCTTGGGGAGCCTCCAGCTGGGGCAGACTCTGTACTACCTAGGAAAAGGAAGTGGAGGCCCAACAGTGGACCCCAGGAGTCACAGGGTGCCCAGACCCTGTTTTATTTGAAAGGATTACAGGGGAAAACACGTCTTCCGTGTGCTGGTTCACTCCACAAATGGCCATGATGATCAGAGCTGAGCTGCTCTGAAGCCAGGAGCTTCTTCCAGGTCACCCATGTGGGTGCAGGGGCCCAAAGCCAGGCCACAAGCAGGGAGCTGGATGGGAGTGGAGCAGCCAGGACTCGAACCAGTGCTCACATGGGATTGGCCTGTCGAGCCCTGGCACCAGCCCGAGCCATGTGAGCAGAGCTCAGAGAATTGAGGTTCTGTGGGCACTGCTGGTGTGGAGAGCTTGGGGCAAGGTCGGTACTGGGTCCTCATGCCAAGAGCAGAAGCCAAGGCAGTCGCAAGTGTGCGGTGGGACATGGGGCAGGGGAGCCGCCAGCGAGCCCTTCTGCCAGGCCGGGGAAGCTTCCAGGTTGCTGCCTGCTTCCCTGGAGTAACAGAGCAGGTGGGGTGACGGGCCAGGCTAAGCATAGCACGTCCTGTTCCAGATTGATGGACTTTTATTGCAAAGTGAGATATACAGAGAGGAGGAGAGCCAGAGAAATACCTTCCATCCATTGATTCACTGCCCAAGCTGCTGCAACAACCAGAGTTGCACTGATTGGGAGCTGGGTCTCCCACGCGGATGCAGGGTCCCAAGGCTTTGGGCCGTCCTGGACTGCTTTCCCAGGCCGCAAGCAGGGAGCTGGATGGGAAGCGGGGCTACCAGGATTAGAACCAGTGCCCATGTGGGATCCAGGTGCATTCAAGGCGAGGACTTTAGTCACTAGGCTATGCCACCGGGCCCACCGCTTCGTACTCTTGAAAGCCTACAGGACACGCATGTTCTCTGTCTCGGTATTACAAGCTCCTCTCCCCTGGGTACCAGTGTCAGAGGCCAAGTTCGCCCAAGGAGAACTGCAGCTCCAACTTCTGAGGGCCTAGACCAGCTGCCTGGCGGGAGCAGCCCTTGGGGCACACCTGCACTGTGACCAGCAGCCACTAAGGGGCATCCACGAGCCACAGCAGCAAGGTCTGGGCTCGCTGGGCACTGGTGTACCCCCTCTGCTGCCAGCGGGGGCGGAGGTCCTTCCCTGATTCCTTACCCTTCAACACCCACAAAGCTGGCTGTGAGGCTCCTGTGGGGTCTGGGCAGGAGTGGGGCAGGGACTGGGTGGTCAGGGGCACCCCGCCCAGAAGCCGCTGCCTGGTTGGCTGCGCAGGACTGCAGTGGCTTCGGGCTCAGAGTGGCAGTTATCTCTTAAGGAGTTGTTCAGGGTGTGCAGGTGCCCCTGCAGCCACCCACACCTGCTACTGACTCCACCAGAGCCTGACTGAGCTCCTCAGTGCCTTGGCAGCTGTGGGACCCACAACGGGCACAGCCGCCTCCAGGTACTGAGCCCAGCAGGTGGACACATGTCCAGGACACAGGCTGGCCCTGGCACTGTGGAGAAACATAGTGTACAAGCATCTGCCCTCATCACCATGATAACCATCATCACCATCACCACCATTATCATCATCACCATCATCACCACCACCATCATCACCACCACCATCATCACCGTCATCACCATCACCATCACCACCATCATCATCATCACCACCACCATCATCACCACCACCATCATCACCATCACCATCGCCATCATCACCATCACCATAACCATCACCACCATCATCATCACCATCATCACCATCATCACCATCACCATCATCAGCATCACCATCATCACCATCACCATAACCATCACCACCATCATCATCACCATCATCACCATCATCACCATCACCATCATCACCATCACCATCATCACCATCACCATAACCATCACCACCATCATCATCACCATCATCACCATCATCACCATCATCACCATCACCATCACCATAACCATCACCACCATCATCATCACCATCATCACCATCACCACCATCATCACCATCACCATCACCATAACCATCACCACCATCATCACCATCACCATCATCACCATCACCATAACCATCACCACCATCATCACCATCACTATCATCAGCATCACCATCGTCACCATCATCACCATCATCATCATCACCACCACCATCATCACCATCACCATCACCATCACCATTATCATCACCACCAGCATCATTAGGACATGTCACCATCTTTACCTTCCCCGTCTTTCACCATTGTTGTCATTGCTATAATGCTCACTACCACGTGACTGCCTTCAGATCCTGGGCCAGTGTCCTGGATGCGGCACCGTACCGCCCCAGCCTTGCCCACTCAGCAGTGCCTGTCAGCATGAGTGCCACCCAGGGGGCACAGCTCAGGTGACACACCACCAGGGGCTCTCCCCTCCCCCAGCCAAGGAGGGCCTGGCTGGCCCACAGGCATTGTGTGTGGACAAGAAGTAACTCAGCACAAGGAAATCCTCCTTGCAGGCCTGGGCTGGGTGCCAGGGTGAGTGGCAGGTCAGGGCCAAGGGCCGGGCCTCCCCAGGCCACGTGGCCACTGGCCCTCCCACCGCCCTCTGGAGAGTCCCTCCTGAGTGTGCGGCTAAGGCGGCAGCAAACGCAGCTCCAGGACCAACCGGAGCTCCCTCCATGATCAGGATCGTTCCCTGGGTCTAGGAGGGTAGGGCAGTGACAGAGTGGGCTTCCAGAGTGCAATACCCACAGAAGGGCTGCCCACCCTGGTCCCAGGAAGCCCGCATGGCCCACATCATACCCATGTGCAGAGACACCCACGCACACCGGTCTCCCGGCCCCACCCCTTCCTCGGGGGCTGACTGCAGCTCCGAGCCCAGTGACAGGAAGGCAGGCCCTTCCGTGCTTGCTGGCCACAGACCAGGACGTGGAGGCCCAGCTGGCAAAGCCTGCTGCAGGCCAGAGGGGCAGGTAGCAGGTAACCTAGCCCTCTCCTACACAGCCTGCCTCCCTACGTGGCCTTGAGGCCACCTGACCCAAGCCCAGCATTCCCCGAGCGGAGGGCTCCACTGAATGCAGCCATCCTGGCTTGCCCACCCACCCCCACCTCTCTCTTCTCCAAGTCTCAGTTTCCCAGTCAGAGGTGGATGCTTGAGACCATGCAGGCCTGCTGCGGTCCACACTCAGGTGGGTGGCCCCAGCATTGCCCACCCATTTCCTAACTGATTAAGGACCTCTAATGGGGGACATCTCACCTGTAGGACCCCGCTCAACAAGGAGGGGTCAGGGAATGCTTATAATCCCAAGACCCTTCCTGGAGCCTTTGGTGTCTCCCCCACTTTCGAGAGGCCCCCCAGCTCCGGGCTTTCTCTCGGAGGAGCTTCCCCTTCTGTCTCCCCTCCCTGCTCACCTGGCGCCTTCGCAAATCAACCAATCTGTCTGCAGATTCCCAGCTTTTTATTTCTATCAGCCTAGGAAAGAACACACTGGGCTTCCGTAGTCCGGGCACCCCAGAAGGAGGTGTCTGAGGGCCCCCTCCCCTCCCACACCTGAAGACACCCAGTGGGGTGTCCCCAGCCACCTTGCTAGGGCTGTGTTGGCGCCCGGGCTGCTGGTGTCTGGCTGAGAAGCTCTGCCCGGAGGCCTCACAAGCCTCACAAGCCTCACAAGCCTCCTGCAGATGCGAATTCCTGTGTAGGTGAGCTGTCCGGGCCCGCCTGGCAGGGCTGCAGCCCATCACGCTCGGTCCTGCCCCAGCTGGCTCTGCAGGCTGCCGACAGGCCTGGGCCCCTCCCACCAGCAGCAGCCTGTCTGCAGGACCTCCTGGCCTCCGGGTGGGGCCTGCTCACCAGGGGCCAGGCCCTTAGGCAGGGCTTGCTGGCTTAGGTGTGCCATCTGGGACGGTCTCCAGGGCAGGGGTCCTCCATCATGGCCCAGGTGGATGACTGCGACTGAAGTGTCTGAGAGGACCGCTCCCGCAGCCCCCACCCCCTCCCTGCCGCCCATCCCTGCCCAGGAGCAGGCCCAGGGAACCAGGGGCAGGCAGGGGCAGGCTGAGCTGGGAGAGCCGCCTGTGGCTGGGGAATTCCAGGAGACAGGGGTGCATCCTGCTCCCCACAGCTTCAGCCACATTCCTCCACCTGGGCGGGCAGGGCCGGGGCGGGTTCCTGGAGGAGGCTGGAGGGCAAGCAGATAACCTCTGCCCTCCGTGTGTGTCGGGTTGGAGCAGATGGGCCCCTGCCAGCGGGCAGCGGGGGTGGGCAGCACGACAGAGCATGAGCCTGGCCTGTGTGGAATTGGAACTCACCAACAAGGTCAGAGATCTGCTAGCCCAGCAGGCCAGTA